AAAAAAAAACAAAAAAAAAAGATATAGAAGAGTTAATGCAAATAGCAAAGCAACATTGGGAATCTAAAAATCACTCTCCCCGCTTTTAATGTTAGATTCAAAAGCTGATTTTAGAAAATGGTAAAAAAGTTGCTTCTTTTATGGCACAACATAAGGCAAAAAGGATGTACAAAAGAATTGACTATTTACTAAATCACAAATTCTAGCTTGTACGTGTGGAGTTAACTACTAGGCGTGTCGACCCTTTGTACTATTTGAATAAAAATGCATACTTACTATCGAATGTCGCCCTTATAGCATTTATTACACCACTACATTTTTCTGTATATAAATCGCCCATCTCGGTCAACCAAAAAAGAAAAAGAAAAAAAAAAAAAGGCAAGATCAGGCAAGCCTAGCGAACCTGGCATATACAACTCTCATATTACAAATCATATTTCCAGAGAACTAACTCTCCTTGTCGACCTCCCTATCGGGTCGACAAAGTCGGTGTCTTTTAATTTTTCCAATATATTTTCTTTGGTTTTTCTTGTATAGATTTAATGTTGATCCTTTTATTTCCCTGTTATTATCCCATCAATTACGCGTTTAATTGTTCCAGTAACCCTAGATTTAACTGCCTCATAAACACCATCCATAACCGTAGGCGATCGACCGTCAATAATGAGTATATACTAAATCACAAATTTTGTTAACTATTAGGCATGCCGACACTTCATACTATTTAAATAAAAATAAATATTTATTATCGAATATTATACTTTTGTTTATATTATATTTTAAAATGATGTCATATTTAAGTGAAATTAATAGTTGGACCGATCTATTACGAAACCAACCAATATTAAATTAATTTTTCATTTGAATTCACCACCTTTTGTACAAAAATGATCAATTCACCTTGGTTAGTTTGTACAAACTATAACCTATATTAACTTCATTTTTCATTTGAATTCACCACCTTTTGTACAAAAATGATCAATTCACCTTGGTTAGTTTGTACAAACTATAACCTATATTAAATTCATTTTTCATTTGAATTCACCACTTTTTGTACAAATTATACGAATTCACCTTGGTTAGTTTGTACAAAATAACTATGCCACGTTTTAAATTGTTTATTTATTTATAATACTCATTTCCCCGTCAATCAGCATTAGCAAACACGCTGAGATGAACAAAGCATCGAGGCATGAATTACTTGAGCCACGTCCCTTGACTGTTGACAAATGATACAAAACTCTATCTTTTCAGTTTCAGGCCTAAAGACCAGCACTCCAAAAGCAGAAAATAAGACAAGAAAATGTGGTTTTTGTCACATATAAATACTCCAAAGTTGTCATCACACAAAACGCAGAATCATATTCATAATAAACAATAATTACAAAGTTTGTTTGAACACAAAATTAAGTTACATAAATATGGCATCATCATCCAATTTGCTCCTCCTCCTCCTCCTCATTAATATCCTTGAATGCCTCGTGCATGCGGTTCCTTACGACTCATCGTTTCATCCCGAGTGTTTGGCAGCGCCTCTAAAGCCTCTATACAATGGAGGGATGGTGGTAAACGCGGAATTCAACCAAGGGCTAAAGGGGTGGAGACAATTCGGCCGAGAAGTGCAAGTGGAGAACAGAATATCTGGCGATGGAATGAACAGTTACATTGTAGCCACCGAGAGGAAACAACCGTATCATAGTTTCTCGCAGAAGTTCCATCTTAAGAAAGGGAAAATCTACACTTTCTCAGGTAATTAATGAATTTATAATATTGAATAAGTAGTATAGTATAGTATAGTATAGCATAGTATAGTATAGTATAGTAGTTGCATATATATATATATATATATATATATATATATATATATATATATATATAAAGTCCTAGTGTGAGAACCGTGAGAACCGCTATTTTTAATTGTATGTAGTGCTATGATTAATTGTGCTTTAATGCTATTTTTAACTAGGATGTATTTGACTAAAAATAGCAACAAAATTTTTATTAGCATTTATGAAAATGATAGCACCATGTAATATTAAAAATAGCATCATACACAATTAAAAATAGCATCAAATATGGTTCTCACGGTTCTCACACCAGACATAGTTTTTATTTGAACCAGCCCCTATATATATATATATATATATATATCAATCAGAATTAATCAGAAATTGTAGGTAATTAATACCATTCTCTTGTAATTAGTATAAGTGTAATTACATGTATGTAGCTTGGGTACGAACGAGCCATGAAAAGGCTCCGGTGGCGGCGGTTTTCAAGACAAGAAGGGGCTACATAAAGGCGGCTTGGGCCATGGGTGTAAGCGGGTGCTGGAGCATGATGAAAGGCGGGTTACACGTGAATGCCTCTGGCCCGGCCCTTGTCTATTTCGAGTCGGAAAATACAGACGTTGAGATTTGGGCGGATAGCATTTCGTTGAAATCGTTCACCCGTGAAGAGTGGAAGTCTCACCAACAACAAAACGTGGAAAGAAGCCGGAAAAAGATTGTGAAATTCGAGGTATTGGACGAAGAGGGATTCCCGGTGGAGAAGGCGAGAGTGAGCATAAACCAGCTCTACCACAGCTTCCCTTTGGGCTCCGCCATGAACGGATACATCCTTCAAAACCAGGCCTACCAAGACTGGTTCACATCGAGATTCAAGTACACGGTGTTTGAAAACGAGATGAAATGGTACTCGACGGAGATTTCCCCGGGGAATGAGAACTACGAGGTGGCGGACGCGTTGCTGGGGTTTGCGCAGTCCCACGGCATTTCTGTGCGAGGCCACAACGTTTTCTGGGCCGACCAGCACTGCCAGCCCGGTTGGGTGACTGGGCTCTATGGGGAGGCCCTCTGGGAGGCGGCTAACCGGAGGATTGAATCGGTGATGAGGCGATACCAGGGGAAGTTGATGCATTGGGACGTGATGAACGAGAATCTGCACTTCAACTTCTACGAAACCAGGTTGGAAAACAACTCTGCTTCCACTTATTTCTACCAGAAGGCGAGCGCGTTGGACCCGCAGGCCACCCTTTTCATGAACGACTACAACACAATCGAGCAACCCGGGGATTTTAAAGCCTCACCGGCCAATTACGTGCAGAGGATACAGGGTTTGAAGGCGAGTGGAGTAACTAATATGGCTATCAGGCTGGAGAGCCATTTCTCACTCGGAGAGCCCAACGTTGCCTACATTCGGGCTGCGATGGACACGCTTGCGGCCCAGGGGGTCCCCATTTGGGTCACCGAGCTGGATGTCGGGCAGGGGGACAGTGTAACTCAGGCACGCTATCTGCAAACTATTATAGACGAGCTTCATTCGTTGCCGGCTGTGCAGGGGATCATGCTATGGACCGCTATGAATGCGCAGGGCCAATGCTACCAAATGTGCCTTACCGACGCTAATTTAAACAACCTGCCCACCGGGAATGTCGTCGATGGCTTTCGGAATCAGTTGACGCATGCCTATGATTTGATGTCCGGGACTACCGACCAAAATGGCTTCTTCCAAAAGTCACTTTACCATGGCAAGTATGAGGTCACCATAAGCCACCCACATCGACCGCAAGATCATATTGTACAACACATCCATGTCGTGCCCCAAAATCATCAAAATGATCATCATCACACGCCATCGCCATATCAGCAACAAATTCATGATCATGATGAGATTGAGCCGCCATACCAGCTCCATACACTTACTCTCCCCCGCCCTACCACTTAATTACATCTATTACCTACCTACCTACCTACACATTATTATTATTATTATTATTATTATTATTATTATTATAAGCTACCAGCTTCTCCTGCATGGATGCTTTTTCTTCTTTCTTTGCCTTTGCTTTTGCTTTTGCTTTTCAAATAAGAGAATTTACACTACTACATCATCACGGCATCACTTATCTTACTTTTTTACTACTCTACTACTACTCTTGTTGTAAGTCCTTGATGGTGTGTGTGTGTGTTTTTTTTTTTTTTTTTTTTTTTTTTTTTTTCAAAATGA